GCCCGGATGCGGCCCCGCCCCTCTGGCCCGACCGACCTGCGCGTGCTCAGAGCGGTAGTGTGCGTGTGCCGAGCGAGCAGGTTTTGGCTAAGGGCTTTTTGCAAGCGTTCTGTTGGTTGTCTTGGCCGGATTTGGGGCTGACCCGGAAGTCGCTGTACTGACAGTTTCCAGAATGCCCCAGGCCACTGACGCAGTGCCAGGCAGAAATTTGGGTTCTTATTTAAACCTTCTCTGATGCTGTTTTTTTTCTTTTTCTTTTCTTTCTTTCTTTTTTTTTTGGTTCCAGAAATCAAGCTCAGGACCTTCTCTTATGCACTTTTGATCGAACTGGGGACTTTGTGCTTTCAAAGCAGGCGCCGAAACCACTGAGCTAAATCCCTGGCCCGCTCTGATGCATTCTTAAACGGAAAAAAAAAAAAAAATCTCTTGCTGCCAGAGTTGTTTAGAAAGGCAGCTCTCATCAGGCCCCTCACCTGCTTAAAAGCTTCTATCCTCCAAAACACACACTGTACGTAGCTTTGTTGCCTCCACGATGATGAGTGTCTACCTGTGACTTTTTTTTTGTGACAGAGACTCGCTATGTAGTCCAGGTTGGCTTCAAGTACTGCGGTTACAGGCGTGTAACCATCATGCCTGGCACTGTCCTATGATTTTTGAGTGTTAAAAACTTCTGAAAATCTTTCACAATTCATTGTGTTACTAGACAGTCTGAGGCAGTTCCTGAAACTGACGTAAGCCACCCATTTTGTAGGATAAGTTTGCAGGTTCGCTGACTCCCCTAGTGGATAAAGAAGTTTCAGGACTAGTCAGAGGCACAGGAAGGTTTTTATTAGGAAAAAAATTAAAAATACACACTCAAAGAAATAGAATGCAGGCCCTCTTGAGAGACAGGCACTTGTTTCCTGGAACAGGGACCGTTTGTGCTTCTATCGAGGGTGTAGAAATCCTGAGAAAAGCCCCCCCCACACACACAAAGGGTAGAAGCCCATTTTATAGGTATCAGCCCAGCTTTAAAAAAAAATAGGTTAACATTGTTTGGATTCTCTCAACCTGCTCCTTCATCTTAGATCTGGTTTCTGTTCTATACTTTTTCAATTAAGCAAGTTTATGCGCTGTCGGTATTCCTGAGAAACCTTGGGTATGATGGGTCTGGTAAGAAAGGAGCCTAAATTTAACTCAGGGAACACTGATATAGCTCACCTTAGATAACTACGACAGTGGCCCAAAAGCTGCAGTCTTTTTTTTTTTTTTGTACCAGGGATGAACTCAGGACCTTGTGCTTGTGAGGCAGACTCGGTGCCACTGAGCTAAATCACTGGCCCCTGCAGGCTTCTTAAAAGTGCCATTTTTAGTTATGATTTCCTTGTCTACTTTTTACCTTTTATTTCTTCTATCCTATCTCAGTTTGATGGCAAAAATTGTCTTAACTTCAAATCTTGGAGGAAAAACTCTCAGTTGCATCTACTTACTCCTTTTGGAGTACAGTTAATGTTTCACTGTAGAACTGTTAATGTATTTGATCAGAGTGCTGAATCAGACTCTGCAGGGACTGTAATTTCCTGTTTGTTTTTATGTATATCATGTAATGCCTAAAATCTGAAAAATTCAGAATTCTGGAAGATGCTAGTCCACAAAGTTTCAGCTAAAAAATTGTGGATGAATATAGTATAGTATTCATAACAGTGGCAACTGCCTGTGTTCAAAGCCACACTGAGCCAACTCATTACCCATGAGCAAGTATGAATGAGCTCTGCCTATTTCCTCATCGAGGGGATTAGGAATAGCACTCTCCCTCCCAGAGCTGCACTAGAATCTCATACACATATTTGAAGTTCAGCATTTAGCCGTTGTTTTACTTTCTCCACAGCTACCCAGTCAGGTTAATATTAGCGTTTACTACCATCTCATCTTACCATGAATCAAAAATTAAGGGCATCTGAGGGCTGGGGATTTAGTTCAGCAGTTCAGTGGCCTGCCTTGCAAGCGCAAGGACCCGAGTTCAATCCCTGGTACCAAAAAAAAAAAAACAAAACAAAAACAAAACAAACTAAGGGCATCTATATTTCAATCTTTTTCAATCAAGGAATCATACCTGTCTGAGAGAGGGCCCCACAGGGTTAGGGAAGGGAGTTGTGCAAAGTGATTCCCTCATCGATGCTATTTCTATCTTAATATCCACAGAAATTCTGCTTTCTATATAAAATTGGTATTTGCTTCAAAGTCTTGCTGTAAAACTGTAAAACTGATACTATAGAAAAACGAGCCTGCCAGGCCTGGTGGCTCATGCCTGTAATACCAGCACTTGGGAGGCTGAGGCAGGAGGATTGCTGTGAGTTCGAGACAGCCTGGGCTACATAGTGTGTTCCAGTGTAAGAGCCTGACTGAACCAGAGCGACTCCATGTTGACCAGCAAACGACCTAGAGACTGTCGCTGCGCCCCATCCCTTATAGGATAACTAATGATTAATTGTGAATTGTTAGGTAACTGCTTTGAAGTAGCTGGGAAACTAAATGTAAACTAGTGAACACAGAGACCCAACACAAATCACGCCACTCCTTACTTGCCTGTAGTTGAATGTTCTGAACATTATAATCTAAATTGTAAATGGAATAATGGATAATCGCTGTGCTGATCATTAGTACGTGACGGACAAGTATATGCTTGATGACCACTAGCTCAGATCAACTGATTCTTTGCCTTTGTCCTCTTCCTGTAAGTTTTAAGTGTAACGCCCCCCCCCCGCCTTAGCCCTATATAAAATGGCCTCTGTTTCTGAGCTAGCCGCCTCTCTGAGCTACTTGGCTTGGGGAGTGCCGCCTGGCCAGACTAATAAAGGTCTATTTGCCAACTTGCCTGGTGTGTTCCTTCCTGGGTGACTCTCGCTGTCCGACAAGCTCCTGGAGCCTCGCTGAGCTTCTGAGCCCAGCATCGTGGAAGCCTCTTGGCTGTTTACGCTCCAGGAGTAAAAGTGAGACTTAAGTCTTACACCAGGTCGGTCTCAACTACATAGTGAGACCCTGTCGCAAAAAAAAAAAACAAAAAGAAAAATGAGCCTTATTTATCTGCGGGGTTTGAGAGCCTCTAACATAGACCTCAGTTATGAGGGTCTGAGGCCAAACGACTTCAACCCCGTCTGGGCCGAAGAGGCCCCGCCCCAAGCATACCCTCGCCTGTTCCTCTAGGAGCTCCGCCTTCAGTACGCTCTTCCGGTTAGCTGCTTGGGCATGTACCACTGAGAGTCCTGTGGGGAATGGTAGGTCGGAGCGACCGGTGCGTTGTCACCTTTCCAAGCTTCACAGAGCTTCAGCTCTTTTTCAAAGTTTTAACTCTCTAGACGACCGAAGGGTTCCCTACACCCAACGTCCCTTCCCTCTTCCTCCCCGGTCCGGCGGTGGCATATTCTGAGTGGGTGGGGCGGGTGGAGGGGAGGGGTTTGAGACACTTGGAAAGAGGCCAGAGAAGACGTGGGGCGGAGCCACGTTGACGTGGGGGTGGGGCTTGAGGCCGTGAGGTGCGGGACCAGCGGCTGACTTACTGGACTACGCGGGTGAGGAAGTACGTTTGACGCGGGTGGTGGTCTAGGTGGTTGCACTGGGCGGGAAAAGGGCTTGGCGGGGAGGACATGCAGGCGGGCCTCGGGCGGTGCGGGGCAGCTAGGTTCAGTCCCTGCTGCCCTCGGCCGGCACGTCTGGCCCCTTGCGTACTCTCCGGCCTGGCGCGGGGCGGGTCTGCAGCCGCAAACTGAGGCGGAGTCGCGGAAGGGCTACTCTTACCTGGGCAGAGCCTTTCTGGAATAGGCGCACGGAAGCCCCAGCCGACTCTCCGCCCGCGGGGGGCGGGTCTGCAGCCGCAAACTGAGGCGGAGTCGCGGAAGGGCTACTCTTACCTGGGCAGAGCCTTTCTGGAATAGGCGCACGGAAGCCCCAGCCGGGACGGAACCCGCAGGGCGACAGACGGCCTCCCCACCTTCTGGGTCAGCTCGGTCCTGGGGAACCACTACTGGCTTCCTGATTGTCTATTGCAGCCCCTGCTCACCCCCGGTCTGGCAAACTTCCAGTCCCCTGACTCTGGCCCACCTGCAGCAGAGTCAGCCCTTATCTGTGTTCCCCACCCGCTACACCAAAGCTGAAGTTGCACAGATGCTGGATGCCAAAGGAATTGTGGTTTATTCCAGCCTCTTCTCTCTCAGAACCTGGCCACCAGTACTTAGGGTCCTTTGTGCCCTTGATTTCTGCACATACACGCTGAGCTTTGGGTCCGTCCTGGAGGCTTGGAGCTCCAGGCTGTGGGCTTGCTCCTAGGCCTAGCAGGCAGCATGAGCTGCCTGTGTTTAGGGCAATTGGGATCTGCAACCAGGCGTGAGGTTCTCTCGTGTTTCCTGTGCAGAAAACCTTTGCCTCGTCATGGACCCCGAGTGCTCCCGCCTTCTCCCGGCTCTCTGTGCTGTTCTGGTGGATCCCAGGCAGGCAGTGGCAGATGACACCTGTTTGGAGAAGCTCCTGGACTGGTTTAGAACTGTGACCGAGGCTGGTAAGAACCACACTACTGCTCTTGTCTGTTGTCCAGAGGTCAGAGGTTGTGTGCAGAGTGAAGGACAAGACGCCCAGGGCTCGCCTGTCCATCTAGAATCTTCCCCTCACTTCCTAGAGACTGTCTGACGGAAATAAACAGAGGGAGGCTGGAGGGAGTGACCCAGAACTGTTAGTGCTGTCCAGCTGCTATTCAGTCTTCCTTCCTTTAGCTCCTCATGTGGTGGCTACAGAGGGCACAGACAAACCATTTGTGTTGAGTCATATTTGGTTTCTTTCTGATCATGAAAGAAGTACATATTTCTGGGTTTTGTTTGTTTTCAATACTGGAGGTTGTATCTAGGACCTTCATATTGAGCTACATTCCCAGGCCATTTTTTATTTTGAGATAGGGTCTCACTAAGTCACTAAGTTGCCCAGGCTGGGCTTGAACTTGGAATCCTCCTGCCTCAGTCTGCTAGAATTATAGGCATGTACCCCACCACATCTAACAGGAGAGCACATTCAACACAAAAGAGTAAAGAGGAGAATTAAACCGCCATAAGTTTTATTTTCTTCCATTTTTTTTTCCTGTAAGTCCATGTTTTTCTTATAAATGTAAGATCATACCACAAATACAACTTAGAGCCTTGCTTTTTCTCACTTACCATTAGAGTGGGTGCTTTTCCCATGGAACACATTGATTTTATCCACTCTGTTTTATTTGCTATCTGAACAGACTATGATTTCATTCTTGTTAGATATTTTGTTATAGGGCCAGGGATTTAGCTTAGTGGTGCTACACCTGCCTTGAAAATGCAAGGTCTGAGTTTGATCCCTGGTACTGGGAAAAAAAAAAAAGTTGGGAATATTTTGTTCTTATAAATAGGGCTGTAATGGCTTTCTTTGTACATATTCTTACATCTCAATGTTTGCTGATAGTTGTCTTACATGGACTTCACATCATTTATTTATACTTTGATTACTTCCTTTGATTTATTCTGCTATATTGCTCTCTTTTGAGTTGAATATATCTTTCTTGTTTTTATATCTAAGGCTACAGATCTCTATAAAATCATCACTTGAAGTGCACCACTAGATTTTTTTCCCCTCTTAGCCAGGCATGGTGGGATATATCTGTAATCCCAGCACTCAGGAGGCTGATTCAAGAGGATCATTGTGAGTTCAAGGCCAGCCTAGGCTACATAGCAAGTTGAAGACCAGCCTGAATGACATAGTGAGACCCTTTCTCAAAAAACAAACAACAAAAAAAATTGGACCTAGTGCTTTTGCAGTGACCTACATTACTGGCTTTTTTTTTTTTTTTTTTTAATGGATTGGGAGGTTTGTGAGGATTTTTTGTTTTGTTTTTGTTTTAGACCTTTGGTACTAGGGCCTTTGCACTGAGCTAGATTCCTAGCCATTTTAAAATTTGTATTCTCACCAAGTTGCTAAGTTGCCCAATCTGGGATTGAATTTGTGATCCTCCTGCCTCAGCCTCCCAGAGTACTTGGATTATAGGTATGTTTTTAGTCTTTTTAGTGGTTAATTCTAACTTTTCGTTGACTAGATAAAAGTGCTTAACTCTTCAACAGGTAAATTTAATGTTTCATTTGCTGAGGTTGCATTTGAACTTAATTTACCATGATCTTTTACATTTGGCCCCTTACCCCCCACCCCATCTCAGCTCCTTTTCTGCCTGTGGCAAATGGATAACTCTTTCTTTTCAATCTTAACTCTTCTGGTTTGGAAATTACATATCCTGTTTATGTTCTCCATTGGTCACCCTTACACACTTAACACTCAAACTAGGTTTTTTTGTTTGTTTGTTTGTTTTTAAAGAATCTGAAATTGACTAGAATTTCTCAGCCTTCAAAACTTTAAGGATCTTAGAGCCCTTTGGCTTTGGATCCCCCAATCCTCCGCATCATTGCTGTCTAGAACTTTAATTCAGTCTTATTTCAAGACTCTTCAACAATGATTTATTTTTAGTTTTTTAAAAAATAAAATATGCAGGTCTGTATTTTTCATAGACTTTATTTTTAGAGTGTTTTTAGTTTTTGCTCTGTTCTTCTTTAGGCTCACACACGTGTTTCTTGGTTCTATTTCTGACTCCCATCCCTTCTCCCTGCGATCTTCCCACTGACTGACAATATCTATCTGGTCATCTTTTCCTATGAGGGCCTCCACTGAAGACACTCCCTGCCTCACGGGAAAACTGAACCATGTATTCTGGGGCCAAGTACCGAAGTCCATTGTCTTCCCTGTTCATTTAAGACAGAAATAACTCTCTGTTGGGTGAAAATGGTGTTGCTTTTTATTTATTTACTTATTTATTGTGATACTGGAGATTTAACCCTTTCATTGAACCACATCCCCAGTCCTTTTATTTTTTATTTTGGATAGGGTCTAACTAAGGCTGGGCTTGAACTTTTGATGCTTCTGCCTCAGCCTCACTCAGTGTTGGGATTACAGGTGTCACTGCTGTGCCTACACTTTCATAGTCAGTGGGACCAAACACTTTCCTAGGATTGGGGGGTGCTGTTCTTCTGCATGGCCTTTACCTGTGGCTGTGCTGTTGTCTCTCTAGCTCCCCACCCCCCAATACATTACAGTCAGGATTCACGTGTTGTAAATGTTCTTCCCAGTTGGACTGTGGCATCTAGCACCCTGAGGGACAGGGGCCCCAAGGTCATCTTGGAGATGCAATGCTGTGATGGAGTCACATGGAGAGAGTACAGTGGTGGGGTGCACATCTCCCCATTGTTAGGTGGGTTTATGAGTGCCTGGTCACCCCTGTGACGGTCCTCTGGGCTGGGCTGTCCCTGCAGGCTCCAGCCTGCTGCTGCTGCAGGAGAACCCCTGCCTGGTGGACCTGCTGTCCCATGTGCTGGACCTTAAGCCACAGGATGTAAGCCCCAGGGTCCTCTCCTTTTCCCTACGCCTGGCTGGAACGTTTGCAGCCCAGGAAGACTGCTTTGAGTATCTCCAGGTGAGTCCAAACCTTCCCACCTGCCTGTGCCCTGTGAGGTGGATATCTGAGGCATTGGAGCCATTCTTGTCCCTGGAGCTGAGGAACATCCTGCTCTGGGGTCTAGCGAGTACAGCCAGTTGTTCTCCCTGTGTCAACCCCCTCTGAAACATTCACCAGGAGTGATGCTGTGGCTCAGGAGGGACTTGTTAGCAATTGGGCAGAACTGGGATGATTCTCAGATCTCTCCCTCGGTGTGGTCTTGGTCCTGAGCTTCAGTTTCTTCCATGGCAGATAAGGAGCCCTGTATCGAGGGATTCCCTTGGGCCACAGTCCTGGGTGGGAGGGCTCCTGGCTGTTTGCCACAGGCTGATGCCGGACAGAACCTGCCTGGCCCTTGCCAGCTCAGCAGTGGCTCTTCCTGGCTCCTCCTGGAGGCCCTCAAGGCAGTGTGAAGACACAATGTATCTCACATCCTCTGTGCCGGAAGTGCTGGGGATGCATGCTGTGTTGGAATCATATGGGGAGAGGGCAGTGGTGGAGTGCACATACCCCCACCATTATATAGGTTCCTGGGTGACCTCCATTCAGCAGCTACAGACTCTTAAGGGCCAGGCCCCATCTTGCTGTGCCGTGAACTTTCCAGAATATTCTGAGCACCCCTGCTGTCGTGCAATGCACATCAGGGCACCACTTGGCCACACCCAGCCCTGCTGACAGCGTGCTGCTTTCCCCCTCCTCAGTTTCCTGTGTCTTTCTGTATCCTCCTGAGGCTGGCAGTGTGTGGGGCTTGAGGGTAGCAGGTCCCCTATGTGTGAGGATGAGGCACATAGTCCCCTCTTAGGCCTGCAGCACAGGGCAGGCCTCAGGTGCCCTTACTATCCACCCTGGCCTGGTGGTCTGATAGCCGGAGGCCTTTGGCAGCTGCTCAGCATTGGCCAACTCTGCAGGGCCTAGGACCCAAGACAGGTAGCTGAGCCTGTGCACCTGTGGCCACTAGTTGCACCTAGGAATAGTGGAACTTAAGGAAGGGGCTCCTGTTTGAGCAGCCAGCAGCTACTCCCCTTGGCCTGGGTTGGGCACCTCAGGCTGAAATGGGGTCAGGGTGTGGGCATGCCTTACAGTGTTAAGTTGCACCATACCAGGGTGGAACTTCGAGGAAAGGACCAAGAGAGATGTGAGGCAGGAGCAGCTTTGCAGAGAGAGCCTACATCCTGAGACCCTGATGCACCCGTGGAGCTTACTGTGGGGGACAGGTTTCCTGCCCCAGGAGGCTAGGCTGTACCTGATGGGGATACCCGAGGCCTGGCTGACATTTTTGAAGTTAGCCAGGCCTGCCAAGGCGCAGGGAATGACAGAGCCAGTTGGGGGCTCCCATCAGCCAGTCAGGATCAGAGGTACCACAGGGCAGTTAACGTCTATTAACATAGGCAGGACAGTGTGATGCCACCCAGCAAGGTCCTTGAAGAGTGGTGGTCCCTCTGCAGGGACTTCATGGGGGAAATGGTTGGGAGCCTGGGCTGTGAAAAGATTGAATAGCTACAGGGACGGCCAGTGCTTGCATGATTGGGCGTTGCTGATTCACTTGGTATGTGGGGTGTCCAGAAGGTCTGAAATTGTCCAGGTGGGGGGCACCTGGAAAGGAGGTGCGTAAGGTTCAGCTCAGAGACTATGGGGAAGCATGAAGGTCGAGCAGCCTTGAAGGGCACAGGGAGGGTGGACATGTGAAGGTGAAAGTGAGGTTGTGGGGGGGTGGCATCTTAAAGTACAGTCACAGGAGTGACAAACCTTCCCTGATCCAGTTTCTTCTCTGAAGTTCTTGCCCTACAAGGAGGATCTGGCAGTGCTGGGCCCTACTCACTGGCACTGAGAGTTACCCCTGCTCAAAGCACAGCTTTGTCCCCAGAAACACGCCTGTTTCCCGCATTCCCTGTATCCCAACAACCTTCTCTGACTTCACTTTTCTTTGCTTTCCAGCAGGGGAAGTTGCTGCTGGGGCTCTTTGGGGAGGCAGGACCCCTCAGCTGGGCTGTCTGGAGCGTCCCCACTGTGCGAAGTGGCTGGATCCAGGGCCTGAAATCCCTGGTACAGCACCCCAGTGGCCTGCACTTCCTGGGGGACAGCGGTGAGTGCTTTCTGCCATAGGACCCAGGGGAGCCCCTGCATCTGGAACCTGGTCCTCAGCTGCAGGGGTGGTAGTCTCACTTAGCCCAGGGCTGCTGTGGTCCATGGTGGTGGTTGTGGCCCTGGCTGCCAGGCCAGGTCCCGGGAACTGGGGGGCTTACTAAGTTGCTCATACACTGGCCATGGGGAGTCGGTCTTTTAAACTAGTTAGAAAGAATCAGGAGCTTCCATGGGCTGAACTTGGGCTGGTAGCCACTTATCCCTGGATCTGGCTGCTTCTGAGAGGGCTGGGGGCCCTGTGGGTGCCTTCTGCTATTCACATCTCTCCGCCTCTTTCTCTGAGATGCTGAGGGATATGATTAAAGTGGTTCTCTGCCTCCCACTCTGTGGGTTGACCCCATTTTACCTGTCTCCCTTTGGTCCACAGGTGCGGTTGATGCCCTCTTCTCCCTGCAGGGAGATTCCAGCCTGTTTGTAGCCTCTGCTGCCAGTCAGCTCCTGGTGCATGTCCTGGCTTTGTCCATGCAAGGCAAGGCCAAGGGGTCCCCTAGCCCAAAGGGCAATGCCTGGCCCGCATGTGCCCAGAAGATTGTGGCCCACGTAGAAGCGTCCTTGTGTTCTGCAGCTGTCCTGCAAGTCACTCAGGCCCTGAACGTCCTCACCACCACCTTTGGGCGCTGCCACAGCCCCTGGACAGAGGTCCTCTGGGGGCAGCTGAGTCCCCTGGTGGCTCACCTGTTGGAGAGTGATCCCATCCCAGCTGCACACTCGCTGGTGGACCTTCTCCTCAGCGTGGCCCGGTCAGGTCCCTGGGACATGGCGGTGGGGGCCCCAGGTGGGTGGTGATTCCCCCCAGGAGTCTCAGAGGAGTGGCCACATCTGGGTGCTCTTCATGGCAGACAGAGACAGAATCAGCCCTCTGAAAATGCTGCCATGATGGGAGCATTCCTTAGGAGGACCCCTCACCCTGAGAAAGGCCATCCACAGGGCTGGGCATCTCCAGCAGGGACTGTGGCAGTCCCCAATGGTCACAGAGGGGCCTTTGTGGGATAACAGTGTGATTTTTCTCTCTCGGGTCCTTCCTGCAGTTCTCCTGTGTTTGCTTCTGCAGACTGTGCCCTGTGGGAGACTATGGCCCGGATGCTGAGCTGCCTGAGCCCCACGCAAGCTGGGCCTCTGGCCTTAGGGACCTTGAAACTTCAGCACTGGTATGATTGGGTTGCTTTGGCTCAGGTGGGGCTCTGGTAGTGTGGCGTTTATGGTCAGGGGACTTCCGGGGGAGAAGCCTGGTGAGGCCGGGTAGTGCAATGGGCAGGCCCAGGCATTGGTGCAGGCTGGCTTTCTTAAGTGACAGAATAATTATTTTAAAAACTTAATGACAAAGCTTATTCTTAGAGCTCCTCTGCTTGAGGGGATAAGCAGAAATAGAATCTGCCCTCAGCCCTTAGACCTTTGTTGACTATGGACATAGGTCCTGGAGCCTTGTGAGTACTCAAATACCATGAGGTGGGCTGAGGGTTGGAGAGAGGAAGGAAGTAGAAGTCCTTTCAGGGTCCTGGGTTGGCATACATTTGGGGAGAAGTGACCTCAGCACCTCTCCAGAGGAACTGTGAGTGTGTCGCCAGCCTGCCTCTGGGCTCTGTGGCCTCCACATACTCAGAGTGGACAAGGAGAACAAGGGACCAAGCATCCTGCCTTCGGTGCTCTGTGCTAGCATAGCTGCCCCTCCAACCCCAAGGCCTAGACCCTAGGGTGGGCCCATCTACAGAGTGTAAGAAAGGACATTTCAGAGCTGGATATAATGGTGTGTGCTCATAATCACAGCCTGAACAACTTACCAAGATTCTATCTCAAAATAAGAACTGAAAGGGCTGGGGATTTAGCTCAGTGGTTCCAGCGCCTGCCTTGCAAGTACAAGGGCCCAGAGTTCTATCTCCAGTACAAAAAAAAAGAAAAAGAACTGAAAGATGGGTGGAGATATAGGTTGGAGCCGAGGTTCTGGGTTCGTTCCCTAGTACCACAAAAGAAAGGTCATCTCATATCACTGTGCATAGATGACAAGATGGAGTATGCCTGGGCACAGCTCTTGGGAGCCCGGAATTCCCTTTCACCTTGAGCAGGCATAGCCTCTCTGGGAGGTTGTGACCATCTCTTCCCGAGCTCCAGAAGCCCAGTGGCTGGACACCATGGCTGAGCCCTGAGCCTTTGTCAGGCTTGTTCCCCCCCACCCATCAAGGCCCCCTGCATAGAAGGTCTCAGGAGGTGCCCAGCCCCTGGCTTGTGCTGATCTGCCCAACTTGATAGGGATGTTAGAAACATGTCAGCCTGCCTCAGCCCAGCGCAGTAGCCCTCGTGTGTCCTGTGTCCACAGTCCACAGGCACTGAGATCCCAGGCCTTCGCGGTTCTCCTCCAGCCCCTGGTCTGTATCCTGAGAGCCACTGCTCAGGCCCCTGGACCTCCAGGTACACTGAGTGGTGTGGGAGGGTAGAACCTGGGTCTCTGATGGCAGGTTTCCTGCTTGTGGCCTCCCACTAAAGGCCACTGGGGTGGAGGTGCCACAGACCTGAACTTGGGAACCTAGCCTGTGCTTGGGACAGTGACTACCATAAGGGAGCTGTTCCTGTTTTGCTCCAGGCCTGCTGGATGAGACTGTTGAGGGTGACTCCATGACAGTGGATACACTCCTGTCCTCCAAGTCGGCCTGTGTGGGGCTCTTGTGCCAGACTCTGGCCCACCTGGAGGAGCTGCAGCCACTGGTAGGTGTGTCCCTGTCTGTGCCAGACAGGCAGTGGGACTGTGACTTCTCCTGACCTTTCTGCCCTCCTGCAGCCCCAGTGCCCCTTGCCTTGGCCTCAGACACTCCTGATGGAAGCTGTGGTGATCATCCTGCGGCTCTGCGATGGCTCAGCAGCCCCCAGCTCCAGTGAGGGGCGCCGCCTCTGTGGGGCCCTGGCAGGCTGCGTTCGGGTCCAGCGAGCAGCCCTTGGCTTCCTAGGGATGCTGTCTCAGGGAACAAGTGAGTTACTGTGGTGCTGGGTGGGCTGAACCCCTTACCTTTCCTTGTAGTGATTTCTGGGAATTCTGAGGCCTTGTGCTCAGCCGTCTTTCCTGCTCCTCAAGGCTGGGTTGCCTAGTTCCTGCTGGGAGGGAGCTCCTGGGGTAACTCATCTGTTTATGTGTGTCTCAGGCTCCTGGGAGCTGGTGCCACAGGTGTTTGCCATCCTCTTGGAGACCCTCGAGAGCCCCGCCTCCAGCCCGACGGTACAGGGACAGGATCTGGGCTCTGGGAGGCACAGCTGGCCCCCTTCCAATGTGGGCCTCTTGGAAGGGGGCCTTTGCCTGGGGCCCCAGAGCTGCCACTTAAAGTAGAAGGCAGGCAGATGCCCAGGTCCACGGGGGGCTTATGTGTGAGGGGATTTGTGGTGCCCTGGTGAGCTGGGGGCAGTCCACTCATCCTACAAGGAATTCCAGAACTGAGCCAGGGTGACTACTATACTTGAGACCCAAATTCTTAGAAACGTGCCCATTCTGTTGGTTGCAGGCTTAGTGCCACATGCCACAAGGCAGTCAGTGAGCCTGGGGGAAGGGCTTGTGGGATTCTTTGAGCCTTAAGGGAGAGGTGCCTGTCATGTCTTGGTGCAGGGTGAGGAGGGCTCTCCCCTGCTGTCTCCTAGGGCAAGCACCGGGACAGGTAAGGGCTCACCCTCCTACTGTCCTGCTCTATGGCCCGTCTGCCACCCACCCACTGCAGGTTCTGAAGAAGGCTTTCCAGGCCACACTCCACTGGCTCCTGGACACACCCAAGCCCCCTGGCTGTTTGGGCCTTGGCCCACATGCCCCACTGTTCCTCAGAGGTAATCCTGGCCCCTTATGGAGTACTCTGAGTGGAACCGCAGGGTGGAGGCAACTAGAGCTGAGGGTAAGGGGAGGTGGCCCAGAGGCTACTCTGACTAACCCCTCCTGGTCCAGAGCTATTCCCTGTGCTGCAGAAGCGCCTGTGCAGCCCCTGCTGGGAGGTGAGGGACTCAGCGCTGGAGTTCCTGACGCATCTGAGTGCATGCTGGGGAGGTGGGTTCCAGGGGCGTGGGTCTCACTGGCTCTGGGTCCCTGGCTGCCCTAGCAGCAGTAGTCACAGCTCCTTTGCCCTTTGATACCCAGGGGAAGCCGACTTCAGGGAGGCGCTCCTTGCTTCCGAGGTACCCAAGCTCACATGGCAGCTCCTTCGAGACCCTGAGAGCTATGTCCGTGCGAGTGCAGTGACCACCATGGGGCAGCTCTCCAGCCAAGGCCTACAGGCTGCCTCCAATAGCCCTGGGCATTCGGAGGTTCAACAGGTAGGAGAGGGTGAGGTCCTCAGCCATGTGCCCATCCTGGGAGGCTGTGAGTGGCCAGCGAGGCCCAGAGCAGCTACTTTGGGGTTAGTCTGGGGCAGTGCTGGTGGAAGTGACCTCTGAAGTGCCAGAGACTTGGTGAACCCATTTGCAGGGGAGCAAGCACAGGGCTGAGGGCTGCGTGTGCCCCAGCACATGCATGACAGAGCTGAGCAGCATGCAGCCTCAGCTCCTGACCCGACCCCAGGTGCTCACGTCTCTGACTTGCTCACTCCCTGGCCACCAAATTTACCTACTTTTGGTCCTGCAGGGCCTGGTTGGGGAGCTCCTGCATATCCTGTCTGTGGACTCAGAGGGCTTCCCGCGAAGGGCAGTTGCCCGGGTCTTCACCGAGTGGCTGAGGAACAGCCATGCTGATGTGGCCCGGGACACAGAGTGGTTTGTGGCCACCGTGCTCCAGATGGTGAGCCAGGACCTGGACTGGGAGGTCCGGGCCCAGGGTCTGGAGCTGGTGCAGGTGTTCCTGGCCCAGACACTGGGGCAGCCCAACCCACCCTGTCCCTATGCTGTGGCCCTACCCAAGGTCACCCCACCCAGCCCACTCCCTGAGGTGCTGCAGACTCTCTGCCAGATGCAGATCTTTGACTTTGCCTTTCGTGCCTTGTTCGACTGTGATCGACCTGTGGCACAAAAGGCTTGTGATCTCCTCCTCTTTCTGAGGGACAAGACTGCTCCCTGCAGTGGCCTGCAGGAGCCTGGGAACAGCTCTGATGTGGCCTCTGTGGAGGCCACCCTGGAGAGGTGGCAGGCAGGTGAGCAGGGCCAACCCCTGGGCAGCCTGGAGCCCGAGGTGGTGCTGGCCGCCTTGAGGTCCATGGATCTGGAGGGCCTCCAAGGCAGGCTGGCTGAGAGCAGTGACCATGTGGAGAAGAGCCCCCAGTCACTCCTGCAAGACATGCTGGCCACGGTGGCTGTGCTGGAGGAGAATGTGGCTGACTGCTACTGAAGCCAGCACAAGTACTGCTACTTGTGGGCTCCAAGCAGGACTGGCTGCACAAAGGATGCCCCCCACCAGATGAGAAAACCCCACATTTTGGTGAATTATTAAAAGAAATAGCTCATTTTCTACTTAAAACATTCCAGTCAATTTTGCCTGTGGCTTAAGCCCAGGCTCCAGTTCGTTTTTCTGCATGTGGCTTTCAGGTGTCCCCCTACCGTTCACAAAGGAGCCTGCCGCCTCACTTCATGTGTGCTTTCTGTCCCTCAGTGGATCCATGACCCCTGGGAAAGGGCTCCTTCCTGGGCTCTGCTCGCTCCTGCTGCATATGTCTGTCTTTATTCCACACTGACCGTTGCCCTATAGTAGACAGTAACATGAGACAGTATGATGCCTACACCTGCTTTTCTTTCTCAGCATTGCTTTGTTACTTGGGGTCTTTTGTAGTGCTATATGAACTTTGGGATTGCTCTTTCTATTGCTGTTGAGGTTTTCGTAGAAATGACATTGAGCCTGTAGGAGACTTTGGGGAGTATGGCCATTTTGATACCATTACTAATCTCAACCCTGGAACTCAGGACATTGTTTTTCTTTTTTTGGTACCAGAGATTGAACTCAGGACCTTGAGCTTGTGAGGCAGGCACGATGCAGGACATTTTGAATATATTTGGGTCATATTTTCCTTCACTCATGTATTAGCATTTTCAGTGTGCAGGGTTTTCACCTTTTTAAATTTGTTACTAAGTACTTTATTCTGTTTTCCTGTGTGTGCATGCATGTGTGTGTGTGTCTGTGTGTGTGTGTGACTGGGGATTGAAATTAGGGATGCTGTGCCACTACATACATCCCCAGCCCTTTTTATTTTTTTATTTTAAGACAGTCTTTCCTTAGTTGGCCAGGCTGGGGTCAAACTTGGGATCTTCCTGCCTCAGCCTCCTGAGTAGCTGGGGTTACAGACATGCACCACTGTTCTTTTCTTTTCTTTTATAAATGGGATAATTTTTCTTGACTATATATTTTTATTATTATTTCAATTTTTATTGGTATACATCTAGAGTGCATAATGATCACATTCATTGTGGGGAGATGGTGCATGTACCTAACACATCTTAATTCTTTTTACTTACCCTTCCCTATATCTCTTGGTTTAAATGGGATTATTATTATTATTATTATTATTTTTTTTTTTTTAACAGGCGGTGGAACCACCAAGCTAAATCCCTGGCCCTATTGAGTGTTTTTATTGTGAAGGGGGTTCATTCCTTTTTCTGCATCTGTTGAGAGGAGATTGTGTGATTTTTTTTCTTCATTCAGCTCATGTGTGTCACATTTATTGATTTATATGTATCAAACCATCCTTGTATATCAGAAATAAATTTCACTTTATTATGGTGAATGAGCCTTTTAATGTGCTGCTGTATTCTCTTGGTTCATATTTAGACGTGGATTTTTGTATCTGTGTTCATCAGAGATACTGGCCTACAATTTTCTTTTTTGTGTTGTCATTATCTGGCTTTAGTATGTAGCTAATGATGGCCTCATAAAGTAAGGTGGAAATCATAAAACTCCTAAAAGAAAACACAGAGCCGGATGTGGTGGCACATGCCTTTAATTCCAGCACTCTGGGAAGCTGAGGGGGGAAATTTGAAAGTTGAACCCTGAACTTAGTGATTTAGCAAGACCCTATCTCAAAAGATGAAAAAGGTCTCCTATGTAGTTCAGTGATAATGATCGGGGCTCAGTACCCAGTCCTAGAGAGAGAGAGGAAAAATAGTTCAATGACTTTGGTCTTGGCACTGGGTTCTTTAGATGTGACATCAAATTCAAAAACAAAACCCACCAGTGGAACTGAATCAACCTAAACACCTGTACTGCTAAGGAAATAATCAACAAAATGAAGATACAGTCAATGGAATAGGGGAGCATATTTGCAAACCATAGACCTAGTAAAAGGTTTTAATATTCAAGTGTATAAGGAATTCACACAACTCATTACCAAGAAGAAATACAATAACCCGATTAAAAAATAAGCAAACTTTTTTTTTTCCCAAACAACACATTGGTATATGAAAGGATACTCAACATTACTAATTAGCAAAGCCACAGCAGGATACAAAACCAATAGTGTTCCTGTGTGGCAATAATGAATACACTGAGAAATTAAGAAAACAATAGTTTCAAGAAAAAAACTAAATACTTAGGAATTATCCTGCCAAAGAAAGTGAGAGACTTCTACAACAAAAACTATGATAATCTGAAAAAGTATATAGTACATCAGAAAGAAAAGATTTCACTATTCCTGGGTAGGCAGAACTAATATTGTGGAAATGGCCATGCCACCAGAACTGATAAATTTAATGCAATCCCAGGCAAAATACAGCATTCCTTATGGATTAGAAAAACCAATTCTAAAATTCTTATGTAATCAGAGGAGACCTAAACTAGCAAAAGCAATCCTGGGAAATAAGAGCAAAACAGGGAGCATGACAATCCTAGATTTCAAGTTATATTTCAGGCTACAGTAATAAAAAGCATGGTACTGATAACAGAATGTGGATCAATGGAACAGAATAGAACATAAAGAAAAAACCCCAGGCACATTCAACCATCCAATACAGGCTGAAGCAAAGACAGCCACTTCTATAGCAAATAGTATGGGAGAAATGGCTGTCCACAGGCAGAAGACTGAATCTAGACCCGTATCTCTCACCATGTACTAAAATTAAAGACAATGAAACAGGAACACTGTAATCTGCTGGAAAATAAGGTGAAACCCCAAACACCTAGGCATAGTCAAGGACCTTCTGAAGAGAACATCAATTGCACAAGAAATAACAAAGAATCAGTAAATGGAATTATATCAAAAAGCTGCACAGCAAAGGAAACACCAGAAGAGAGAAACAAGAGGTGACAGAGGATGAGTATCTACAATATATAAAGAACTAAAAAAAACTACCCCCCCATAAAAGACCCAATTAAAAAGGCCATTGATTGCTTTTTCCCCTGCTGTTCTTGGCTGATCTCTTGATAATAGCCAGTCTTTCTGGAGTGAGATTGTTTTTATTTGTATCTCCAATGATCAGTGATGTTGAACATTTTTTCATATATTTATTTGCTGTTTCTACTTCTGAGAAGTGTCTTTTCATTTCAGTTGGCCATTTTTTGACTGGGTCTTTAAATCTAGGAGGTCTGGTTTTTTTTGTTTTGCTTTGTTTTATAATTCTTTATGTATTCTAGATATTAGTCCTTTGAGGAACAGTTGGCAAAAATTTCCCAAACTCTGGGTTGTCTCTTCACTTGGTGGTTTCTTTTGCTCTGCAAATGTTTTTAATAAGATGAGATTTCAGTTGATTTTTTGTGATATTTAAAGTGCAATTGGGATTTTGTTCATAAAGTCCTTACCTACCCCAGTGTCCTCTAGAGTTCTACATATTCTTTCAGCAGATTTAGTGTTTTTGTTTTAATATTTAGATCTTTGACCTGTTTTGATTTGCGTTTAGTGCATGGTGAAACATATGGGTCTAGTTTCAATCTTTGGCATGTGGAAAGCCAGTCCACATTATTATTATATCCAGCACCATTATTAAAGAGACTATCTTTCTTCCAGTGAAGGTATTAGGTTCTTTGTCAAAAATAAGGTGGCTGAGTGTGTGTGGAGTTGTTTCTGCATCTTTTCTAATCTGTTCCATTGATCCTGGGGTCTGGTTTTTCTGTTGTTTTTTTTGGTACCGGGGATTGAACTCAGGTCGTTGTGCTTGCAAGGCAGGCCACTGAACCGCTGAGCTAAATCCCTGGCCCTCTGTTGTTTTTTTGTTTTGTTTTTTTACTTTTTTTGGTGCTAGTACCATGCTGTTTTTATTATAGTAGCTGTGTAGTATAATTTCAAGTAAGGGATTGTGATGCCCCCTGCCTTGCCTTTATTGCAGAATTGCTTTTGCTAATTCTGTGTCTCTTCCAAATGAATTTTAGGATTGTTTTCTCTAATTCTGTGAGATATACTGTTGGTATTTTAATCAGGATTGCATTAAAAGTATATAACAATTTTGGAAGTATGGCCACTTTCACTATATTGTTTCTTCCTACCTGAGAACAAGGATATCTTTCCATTTTCTGATACCATCTTCATTCTCTTTTTTCAGAGTACTATAGTTTTCCATGTAAAAGTCTTTTTCTTCCCTCATTAGTTTGATTCCTAAGTATTTCATTTTTTGGATGATTGTGAAAGGTGTTGTTTCCCTAATTTCTCTCAGTGAGTTTGTTATTTGTGTGCAGGAATGCTGTTGATTTTTAGGTGTTGACTTTGTACCCAGCTATCCTACTAAATTTGGTAATTAAATTTAGAGGGAAGAGGAACCCTTGGAGGGTAAAGTGGTGCAACCACTGTGGAAATCAGTGTGCAGATTCCCCAAAACCTAAAACTGGAGGTTCCATTTGACCCAGTTACTCCCCATCTTGGTATCTTCCCCAAAGAATTAAAAGCATCAGACCACAGCAGTATATGCACACTCATGTTTGCAGCAGCACAGTTTGCAATAGCTAAATCTTGGAAACAGCCCCCATGCCCATCAACTGACAAATGGATAAAGAAGATGTGGGGTTTTATACATTGGAGTACAACTCTGCCATAAAGAATGATGAACTTCAGATATTTCTAGCTAAATGGATGGACCTCGAGGTCATACTCTTAAGTGAAATAAATCTGACACATATGTTAAATACCTCATTGTTTCTCTGGTGTGAGAAATTGAAAGTGGAAATAAAAAAACAAAATGTATAATACATATTGAGAAATGGGAAGAAAATATTCAAATAAGGGGAACAAGGGATGGGGGAGAGGAAAAGGAAAGAAGGACGAGAAAAAGAAGGAAAAATGGAAACAAAGCTTTTGTAAATAGGGAAAGAGGCGAGGGGAATGGGAAAAAAGAGCAGCAAGATATATCTTTGCAGGTGCAAATTCCCAAGGAAGAATGTGATCATTATGTATATCTAAAATGTACCAATAAATGTATTGCTTAAAACAAGGCCAACTGAAATGAATAGACACTTCTCAGAAGAAGTACAAATGGTCATATGGTCCTGCCCAAATACAGGATACTGGGGCTGTCAGGACAAGTGCCTGAGATTGACCAGTGGGACTCAACTCATCCCCCAGTGTCTGCTGCCTTGTGGTGCACAGTTTCTTTGAGTTCTTGAGATATCTACCTATCCATCTCCTGGGAATTGAACCCAGGGCCTTCACACAGAGCTAATCCCCCACCTTTTTTGTTCTGTGACAGTCTTACTCAGTTGCTCAAACAGGACTTGAACTTGTAAGGATTCAGTTTAAGGATCAAAATCGAGGAGGATTGCAGGTTCAATCCTCCTGTCTCAGCCTTCCATAATGGTGGGATTACAGGTGTGTGTGTGTCATTGTGTCCAGCATTTTGGTTGTCTTTATCTGTGTGCTGCTCCACTGAAGGGTTCTATGGGGTTCTTCAAGGTTTCAGATGTGGTGAACCTGACTAGGAAGGAGTCAGGTTGGGGCATTACTCCTAGGAAGCCCTCCAAATCCAGACTGCATGGAGTGTTTTCCATCCTCAAACCTGACTTCTCAGGAATAATTTTTCCGCACTTTTGTTTTGCTCCTCCTAGCATCACAACCAATCTTTCCTCTAGTACCCTGAAGTGTGGGGCAGGATGGCGCATGAGGTAAATTTGCTACCCTAGGAGGATGGCCCCTTAGGTTTGCTGTCTAAGGTGGGGAGGAGGGTCTTATATAATGCTCCCCACTTAGGGTAGGACTGGTCTGAATTTTTTTTCCTTCCTGCCCCTTGGGGACCACCGAACCAGAGCCTAAATTTGCTGGTATTGGCCAACACTTTCCAGGCAAAAGGATGCTGACCAATCAGGATAGACGTTGGCCG